CTAGTTCTATCATAATCACAATTGTAGTATGATTGAGTGATAATCTTCCTCAAGACCTTTGAAAGTTTCTTCTAATTTTAGTATACGTTCTGCTCTGTCAAGTTGTCTCAATATATCCTAGCATTAATATAATTAGAATATTAAGTTTGATATAAATCATTAAGAAGATAAAATATAAAAAGCAATTAGCAAACCTCATTCCACAGATACAACCGTTGTTTGACTTGTAACCGATATGCCTTGTAAGCAACGGGATCTGTCTTGTTTAGATTCCGTAATAATTCAATTTCTACACATCTTGCCATTTGTCTCTGATTATATATTCCAATTATTAAAAATGATTAGCACCAAAACTCATGTTTGAAATATTATATAGAGTTGTTTTTTTTTTACCTTATTTAATTTGTATTTTTTTTGCAATTCATTAAATACATTCTTGTCTACAGGAGCCTTGAGACCTTCAAGAGCCTTATCTTCTCTCAAAAATCGTATATCATTTTTATCACGAATTTCTTGAAATCTGTCACTTGGATCTTCAACTATTATATTATATTATTATATAAATAAAATTAATTATTTTATTGATTATAATTTATAATTTATCAAACTATTTAATAAGTGAAATTTTATTGACCAACCAGTAATTTCTTTTATTCTGGGATCTGCTAAGAAGCTTTGATAGAGAGCCTGATAAAATTTATCTTCAACAAAAGTTCAATAATTAATAAAATATTCTAACCTTAAAACAGCAATTTTATTAAAACTTACTTCCATGACCTTCTCGTTGATAATGTGGGAGTATTAAAAATTGACTGTATCAAGTAAGTCATTATATTAGCCTTATGATTATAATTAACAGTGGAAAATAGTCTATATGTTATATAAGTACCTGATTCTCACTCGTATATTATCTCGAATCTGCCCACCTTGATTAATACTCAGATGTAATGGTGGTTTATCATGGGCATTCGTATGATTCTCATTGGAATTTCCCGTCCCAGTTAAAAAGCAATACATGTACATCGTACAATAGCCTACAATACTATATACTTTGCTATCACCCACGGTTTTTTTCTCAAATCTTGTCATTAGAATTTCAAGTAAAACATGTTAGACTAAGTCGAAGTAAAACGTCAATTTCTATATATATATATATAATATACATGCATTAGTGCAATTTCCCATTTGTCATCGTCTTCGTCAATGTATGATCCAGCTTCTATATAAAATAATACAAATATTTGTAATCGCCTGTGAAATTCTTTAAAACGAGGGGTCAAAAATGTTGCCTATGATAAATGTGAATGTAATAATAAATTTAATAATGCAATGATAAATAAATTACAGAATTTATATAACCAAAAATCAAATGTTTTTATCAGAAAAGTATGAATATTTGCCTTATAAATTTCATATATTCTATCATCATCATTGTTAAGGCGATATTCTGAGAATTTCTCCCCCATTGGTCGAAAATTTTCATAATCTGATTTTATAGTTTGTAAAAATGTATCGAAATTTGTGATAAAATCTTTATTTTTTTTTAAAGAATTAATTAGTAATAAATAACAAAGTGCAAAATTTTAATATAATGAATTTTCAATAATAGATTGATTTCTTTTACCATAAGGTATGAATTCTTTGATCCTTTCTACTACATTATCAGCTAATGGAGACTTTTTGTCATATGTTACATCAAAATACGTTGTCAGGCTACTAGACGCGTAATATAACTGAATGATTAATTTGATCAAAATAACGCCATGTAATTAGTTTTTCTAGATATTTAGAAATCGGTCACCAACTGTATACGCAATAGAGAAAAGGAGAAATTATAAATCGCGAACCTTAATTGACAAATTTTTATATCCAAAAATTTGTTCCTTGTCACCAAATATTGGGTAAGTAAATTCAGGTGAAAATTCTAACACTTTGGTTTCGTCATGCTCATTATCTGATTCTGATAATGGCTGAACTAATAAAACAGAAAGCATAAATTGGTTTATTCTTAAAAATTATACTGGAAATTAGTTAGCTTTAACCAAAGTTCAATAGATTTCCTTTATGCTTACCAAACCTAATTTTAACCGCTTCATTCGAACTACTTATCCAATTCGTATCAAAACAATTTTCTAGAGTACTTATTCCTTCCATAATATATTAAAGGTAAAAAGGGAGAGCTTATTAGATTGATAAAGGCACGCGACAAATCTGAAGCTACTTGATTAACTCGTTAAGCATACTATTGTTTGATTTATAAATGTTTCACGCGTATGTCCCTTAAAGACGACTTGTAACGTAACAATGTTACACGACTACACAATAATTCTGAGGGCGTATACTATCGCTATCGTGCAGAATTTTTTTATACTTAGACATTTTATAACAAATATTATTATATCAAATAGATTTAATTAAGTTTAATTTATTTGTTATAAAAAAAATAAATAAGTTATAATAATAATACAATATGTATTTGGCTTTGAATTTAATATACTTACCGTAATTACAGAGTTCTCATATTAAATTTAAAATTAGATACCGGTATATGGGGTCTTTGCCTTGAAAATCGAGTTACGGAACATAGTAAATTATATGTTCCATACTTGATTTTCAAGGCAAAGACCCCATATACTTTCTTATATATTTATAATAAAATAATTATATTGTGATTTTTTCTAGACTTTTCTAAATATAATTTTTCTAAATACTATTTTGAATTTTAGTTTAATTTTTACTGTATAAATGCAATTTTTTATTAATTTTTTTTAAAAAAACATTAGATAAGCTTAATACAAAGAAAAAAAAAGTAAAATAAAAAAACTAAATTAGTTAAGCTCATAACAAGAAATATTATAGCAAAAAAATAAATAAAAATAAGTAAAATAAAAATAATTGTTAGTATTATAATAATTATATATTGTTTATATACAATTACTAATTTAATTTAATTAGCAGAATTTTGTAAAATCTAAATAATTCTGCTAATGTGTAAATGTTGTATTAGTATATTTATATTTTTTGTAAAATAAAATTAAATATATATTAAAATAAAATTAAATATATATTAAAATAAATCAAAATGTTAACAAAAATAATTAGTTCAAGTTGTATATTAAGCTATATTAATAGTATTGAGTTATTTGTAAGTTGATTTGAATTTATTATATTATAAGAGTATCTTTAATACAAAGAGAAAGATATATTATTTTTATAATAGTAAATATTAATTGTTTGGAATAAAAGTTGTTCTAAAAAAGGATTTGATTTATATTAAGATTTTAAATAGTAAAGTTTTTTGAGTTTGGAGAAAAAAATTATATTAGTCATAAAACATGTTTACTAGGATTCTGTACTTATTGGTTATATAATTAACTCACTTCAATTTTATATATAAATTTAACTGTTTTTATATATTAGAGTGCATGGATTTCGAAATATATATTTCTTTCGAATAAATACTTGTTGCTTGTTATTATATTTTTTTGTTTAATATACATTTCTAGTATTCACTCAAGGAATAAAGATTTATAAAGTATTACCATAATCATTAGAAGAAAATTTTAGAAGATACTTAAGGGTAAACGCTCTTTTTTATTAATATAGCTAATAGTATTCATAAATTCATGTTGATTCCGAATTAAAGGGAATCAATAAACGACACATAACATATATAAATTTAATATCGTGATAGTAATAATTCGAAAGTTTAATTTGTGTTTGTCAATAAATTTAAATTAAAAAGGGATTTGAAAATTATAATGCGTCAAGGTCAAAAGTTAACGCTAATTGTCAAAAATCGGTTTCGATATTGATTGGCTTACTGAAACACGTTTAAGAATTAATTAGTTTAATCAACTTTACAAATACACTGTGACTCTCAGATACTTAATGTAGAATGACTAATTAAGAATATAGATCTCCAAGAAACAAACATTAATAAAGTCATAATCGATTTGATTCTTAACTATCTGTTACATATCGCGAGTTACTGTACGTTATTTTTAAGGGCAATGTTTTGAGAAATAATATTTTTACCTAGATTTACCGGTTTAGGGTGTTTTTGAGATTTCAAAAGCGAATTGTGTAAATAGCCTGCGGATGTGTCCGATAATTGATTTTGCCGAGTTGACTTGATTATACGTTGGGGAATTTTATCCAAGTCTTTAATTTCTTTAACTTGCTCATATAATTTGGTTTTTTCGTCGCTTAAATCAAAGAAAAATTGTTTCGGTTTATTGACTAATTCTTCAGCAGCTGGTCTGTCATGAGGTTTAGCATCTAAACATTTATTCATCAAAAGCAGTTGAACTATTGCCTTGAAAAATAGATAGTACTAATTGGAATATCATAATATGGAGGATATCGGTCAAGTGTAATGTCAGAAAATTTTCAGGGTAATGATTTAATTAAGAGAAAGCTACAAAATAATAGGACTATCTATATGGTTTGTAAGAAAAGAAAGTTTTCGTTTCTAAACTAACACTTGTATCTTAAAATATAACCGATATTCTTCATTATAACAAACAATTATTATTATTTCATATTTTTAAATGACTTATATTTTTTTTTTTCTTACGTCAAAAAACCTTTAAAGTATCTTATTTCAAAATTAAGCTTGAAAGTTTGAAAGTTGATTAGTTGACGTGACCAAAACCAAAATATTTAATACAGTAGTATTAATAACATAATATTTCCAATAGAAATATGAATAGTACTTGTCAAACCATTTTATACCTAAGACCATGAAAAATATTCCGATACGCAAAGTTTAGTAAAGATCTTTTAATGATCCATAATTTTTGATATCAACGTATGAGACCATTGCTAACTAATTTTAAGAATATTTAGATTATTTGAAGTTTTCCATTCAACTTCAATAATACCATAAAATTTTTTAATAACACCTGTATTTTTGGGTTAGAATAGTTAATTCATTTGGATATCTCTTTCACATAGTCATCACTTGATTGTTTAAATTTGTATAAGATCTATATTAAATAAATAGAAATAAATAAATAGACAATATAATATAAATTAACATTTCAAATAATTCTTTATCAGTTATACTTAATTAATCTCTTAGAAATTCATCGACTTTTCGTGACTCTTCATCTTTATTAGCAATAGCAAAATGTAGATCTTTTAACTTCTTTTGCATTAATATATATTTTTTTTATAATCTTTGATATTTGATACTTTCTAAGTAAATTCTTTTTGTTGACACGTTTTCAAACCGTTTAAATACGACATAATATCCTTTTCATTTTAACTTCCTATATTTCTTCAATGGCATGTTCCGCAACTTTTACTCGATTGTCATAATTCGACAAATTTTTTTTATTACACTTTACATTCTCTTAAATCTGATAAATTTATTCCTATAAAATTTATCGTACCGCCTATAGAGCAATTATGCGAAAATAAAGAGTTAAGGCTTTCTGCAGTAATTTCGATTACGGTATTCATAGTTATGATAAATAAATAAAATATAGTAATTGAATATAATAATTGATATGTATAATATTGATATGTATAATATTGATATGTATAATATTGATATCGATACGTATACTGCTCTTTTAAAGTTGCCAATACACGTAACGATCGGGTTAAACAGTTTTAAAACTTTTTAAAAGACTTTTTAAACCATTTGGCGCTGAGACCAAATTTAAAATTTAGTGCTAAAATGCTGATTCACCAAATTTCATAGAGATAACTTTTAAAGAAAAAATATTCACTTT